GACTTGGTAATATATGATTGTGATATTGCAAATATAAAAGCAATTCAGGCTGTCATCTGTTGTGTAACGTTGATGTATGTATAAAAACGTACACATAATCAACACAGCCCACATCTGTTGAATAAACTAAAGCAGTAAAAAAAATAAATAAATGCTTCCCCGAATGACAGATTTGATTTGGGCCAACAGTCTCAGCACCAGCATCTATTGTCTAAGTAGATTTTTACATTACCTGTGATATTTTGTAGTTCTGATGCTGCTTTAAAATGCTAAAAAAAAAATAAAATAAAATAAAAAATGCTGCTTTTCTGATGAAACAGCTCCCTCTACCAGTACTAATAAGACAAATACTTGGACTTTTCACTATATTTTTATTACAATAACTGTTCCTATTATGAACACGACCACTGTTGATAGTTGAAAGTGTTTTTTTTTTTATAGATTCAAAGGTTGGCAGTTTGAATTGTGCTCTTGACATAAAAACATAATTGGTTGAGCGAACAAATCCACCTACCCACAGGTTGCCAGAGCGATTCTAGCTCCCACAGATGAATGCTGCCGTTGTGTCCTTGGGCAAGACACTTAGCCCATCAAGACGCCAGTGCCTGAGTAAACTGGTGTATGAATGTGTGTGAATGTTGGTGAGTCGTTCCTTGATGTAAAGTGCTTTGAGAAGCCTGATTCATCAGTTGGTTTCACTTTGTGGAAACCGTCTGACCTCGCAGTGTTAGAATTTGTTTGCTCAACGGTAGGCAGGTGCTTTTTTTTCATTTAACCAATTGCTGCTATTTGGTTGTGATGTATGTAATGTGCCACTAACAGGGCTTACTGGTATATTAAGCTTTTCCCAAATCCCATATTACCCCTTGACAAAATTCACCAAACATTCTCTTTGTTCCGGCTTTAAATCCTCAATCTCGGGAATCTTTGCCAACAGAATGTATGGCTCTTTGCTGATTGGCTGGTGCCCGAATTCTCACTTCCGAGGTTTTTGCGAACCGTCTGGTGTATTCCTATTCCAGACCTAGTCACTGGAGAGAAATGAAATTGAGTGGAGGCACTAGGTGGTGCCAGCCTGGCTACGCATTGAGTGCTTTAAAGGTGGAAAGATGCTATATAAAAATGTGTCCATTTACAAACACTACCACTGTTGATGGCAGTTCCAAACAGTATGAAGATCTTTGAAGCAATGTTAGTTTTCACTGATTGAGATTTCAAATACAAAAAAGTGCCAATAGACCTTTTCAGTATCACATTTCAGTCTTGCCAAAATAAACAAATGGAACATAAAAAAAGACATAATTATACCTTTGTAAAGTGCACAGTGCATTCCTCCCAGTCTCTCTCTTCCTTTGTTCCATAGCGCTGACATCGGCCCATCTGTGGAGTCCCTTCCCCATGTGTTGTTGGACCTCATTTATGCCCTCAAATTGCCATCTAGGTGCCATTCCAACTGAGAACATTTTGGCTTCCACTTTCTGTCCAGGTGCAAAGTTATTTATAGCCTGCAACTCAAAATCAGTCATTGTTTTCAGTGACAGTTTCAGACAGTAGCCTTCCTCTATACCACATGCCACAGAAATTGAAGGTACCTAATAGTGTGTCCCTGACATGTCTGCCACTTATTTCCCTGGATAAGTGAATGTAAGTTATACAAAATGTGAAGAAAAAATGTGGATCGAAATTCAGTTTGCCCACTCACTCAAAATACAATCTAACAACGGTGTGTGATGCAATCGTGCAGAAAATGTTGTAATAAGTTAATCACAGCATATAATTGTTACATCTACCAAGAATGTTTTTTTGTTAGTTTGTTTTTTATGGGATGTGGGTACAAAAATTAAAAAGAAATGTAAAATAACTGCCAATGCGTGTCAAAGGTGTAAATAATTGTAAATATTTCAACCGATTCATAATTACAAATGGTGCAAGTTTGCTTCTTGAGGAACCCATGCCAACCTGGCAACCTTATATTAAGGGTTCACGGTGTAACTTTTCTGGCAGATGGTCAGTCATTTGTGTGTTCATTGTTGCCTGAAATGTTCCACAGTATGGCAGCTCCATGGAGAGGAAGGTTATATAGCACATTAAAAAAAAACTATTGTGCTTGTGTCTGCTATAGAGTTATAATTTATCGCAATAATAAGTCAATTTTGCATAGTGCTTTAAGAAAATTAACAATATAGTAGGTATTTGTGGATAGAATTTTGTCAACCCCTTGGAAAGACACAGATGTGATACAATTCGTATACCCATCGAGGTAAAAGCATGATCATCCTTACATTAGTGAGATAAATAAATCTAAATAAAATAAATAAATAAATAAATCTAAATAAATAAAACTAAAGTAAATCTGACAACGAAATAAACACGTCCTAAACTTGTACACTTCCAAATGTATTTGAGTCTTTACAGTCATATTATGTGTCATATCGGAACTGTTTCAGATGCTTTACTCTTGATCATTTGTCAAAAGCTGAGTGTGAACAAGAGCAAATATTCCCTTTGTGGTATTCTTGGGAGACAGATGCACAAAAGTCGAATACAGTCTTTTCATGTCTCTGCACGTGCAATGCTGTTTAAAATAAGTCTTCGAATCTTCATAACTGCTGACAGTGACTCACTAAGAAGCCTTTTAGTTCTATTTTTGGAAACTATTTTTATCATTGTTGGATGTTGGAACACTTTATTGTGTGGTCTGCTAAAAGCTGCTCCTGGATTCAGATCATTTGGACAAACAATGATTTTCTGTGCACATTATTCAGTAAAAATATTGTAAATTCCGTACGCTTATGTGAAACTGTTTTGACTTTAGGAATTGTCAGAAGTGTTTGTGGATGTGGTGCTGTGAATGTGAGAAAATTTATGTTGAAAATACAAAGCTCCAGGTGGTCCCTGAATCCCACTTCCAGAGATTTTCTTCAAAGTTTAATGTTGCCCGTGGCATGCCAAATAACCTGCACCATAAATATATTTTTATTTCAGGAGATAAAAGTTTGACAGTGGACAAAGAAGATAATCTTAAAAGGAATGTTCTGGCTTTCCTGCACTGATTTCTCTCTTGAATTTTATAACCCTATTCTTTATGTGAATAGGCCCTGAGAAAATGCAGTTCATCTCTAGGAGTATTAAGTATTAGGCTGTAGCAGTACATACATGTGCAAATGTCTTTTATATGCTAATTATTAGATAGCAAAATACAGAGTAGTCTTAGTCCTACTAAATAGTTTCTACTATTTTGAATGTATATACTGTACGCAACCGTAAAATCCAAAACTCATTTTACTTATAATAATACTTTTACTATACCCTGTAATAATATTCCTAAATAGGGGGTGTAATGATATCCAAGTCTCTCTATACGATATTTTCATGGAATACATTCTCATGATATTTATTGCAATATTTTGTGGAGGCTAACAAAACTGTGAATTTGCTATTTTTTCATCTTAAAATGCCTTGACAAGACTTAATGCAAAGAGCTAAAACTTAAAAGTGTTATTTCTTCATGTAGTCTGCACTAAATGGAGCAAAGGATCATGGTCTATGTAGTTCCCTCTGTTTTTTTTTTTTTTTTTTTTTTGCTATTGCTGCACCATAACTCTTAATTTAAGCAAAGAGACTTGTAATTCGATATATATTGTGATGGTCCACGATATTATTGTGAGAACTTTGACGATATGATATTACGATATTTTGGTTATTGTTACATCCCTATTCCTAAATATGAAAATCATGTCAGACCAAAGGGACTCACTGTCCTTTGTTTTTTTGTAATAGAGAGGAAACTGTTTGACTTCATGCAGTTTAAGCTGGGTTGCTTTTTCACAGATCTGACTTATAACTCGTCCAGAAGTTTAATGCCATGGTATGGAAAATTCTGCGCAAAGCAATAACCTCTTAATCGAGACAAGCAGATGACAAACCTTCCAGCAGAAAAGCTACAAATAGGCTCTATTCACGCTGACGTCACAAACCAGGAAGACATTTGCAAACATGCGATGACAACTCCCGGTGTAGTTACTGACACTGGGCTCGCCGACCGACTGTGACTGTAAAGAAACTCTCCTCAGCGGTAAAATGAAGACTGCATACATCTGTGCTGTTTGGAATCATCTTGCCCTCATCTCTCCAAATCGCATGTACCCAGTGTGCTCGGAGTTGTGTGTCAGTGGAGAAATGATGAAAACTGAACATAAAAGAACTCTACAATGACATGCAGATGAAGAAAACTGGGACATTTTCTCATTTTTACTAGATTTTGTCAGATTTACTGCTGCGAACATAGCCCACCGGAAGTTATCATCGCATGTTTCCAGACGTCTTCCTGGTTTGTGACGTAAGCGTGAACTGAGCTGAGTTTCAGATTAAATCATAACATTCTATAGACTAATATTAATTAATACAGATGTTTGGCAGCTAAAATTAATAATGTTAATATGCAAAATTATGTTGTGATACCGTCTTGGGTTTATTCAATAATTGAAAATGTCAAGTTCAACATTTTGGATATTTCATCACAAAGTACAATATAATCAATAGGTCAGATTTCAATGTTCATTTCATTGTACTTTGTGATGAAATATCCAAAAGGTAAATGCACAAATGTTGAATCTGTTAAGAATCTGTTAATTTCCATGAGTGAGTCGACTTAAGAACTCACTGTAATAACAAAAATCTGCATTTAAACTATATTAATTCCTGCTGCCTCCCATCTGCATTAAATATTATTAGCCTATAAAATATTATGATGTAATCTGAAACCCTGCAATAGCGCACCCGTAGACTGTATGAGTGCAACTTTAATCACTGTTTGTGTTATGAACTTATTAATTTATTTATTGTTATACTTTTGTTGTTTGTTTTGGTTCAATTAAAAAACGCGATAAATATTTGAATTTAATAAAAAAATAAAAAAAATAAAAAAAGTGGCACGCTCGCTCCCGCCCGCTCGTGCCCGTCGCGCACGGCTCTATCCTCTCACTCGGGAAACTTGGGACTTGTGTTTGTGTGAGAAAGCAGCAAGTAGTTAGACGCACGCAGCCTCCTGAACATCTCCATCCGGGCTCCTGTCACCGCTGCACCTCTACAAGTCTTTTACCACCGCACAACTCCGACTTTACCCTCGACATGATGGACGGGAAGCGAGTGGACACGATCTCCGCCCGGGTGGACCGTGCGGCGGCGGTGGCGGCGGCTCCGGTCTCTTCCCCCGGCAGGAGCGCAGACCACATGGGTAGGACCAGACTCACTGTGCTCGCATGTTTTGGCGCATTTTGCAAATTGAAATGAATGTGGAGTTTGCTCTAGCATGAAAATCCCAACTTGGCTCTTGCAAATGCACACTTTTTAATTTAATTTTGCCTCATTTTAACCTCGTAAAGTAAACTGTTTGATCTAATTGTAGTTTTAGAGGAAAGGAATCAGTGCGTTTGAAATACAAGCTACTTTTGAGCCCACAGATGCATAAATGAACTGGTTGGCAAACTTTGAACTTCTTGAAATTACCCATATTAATTCAATATGTTGAAAATAGGCCTGTCACGATAAGTATATATTACTACAGAGAAATATTGCCAGACCCGATCATTTTAAATACTTTGACACTCACTAAGATTAAAATAAAGCAAGATAATCCCAGCAAACCCTTTTTAAATTGACAATATCATTCAAAAGCATGAGCTGCAACAAATAAATAGCAGAATGACTCATATAATTAGCCACTGAACTGGATTATTCAACCCTCTACAGCTCAAATTTTAACATATTATAACTAAAATAACCAAAATCTTCCCACTTTTGCAAATAAAAAGTACACACGATAAATATTGAGTTCCAAAATATATTGAATATAGTCATTATTTCATTATTGTGACAGGCCTAGTAGAATATAAGTGCAACTTGAACAAGCAACACTGAAAATGAATTAAAGATGCGCTATGTAACTTTTCTGGTGGGTGTTTCCGTGCAGATGTTATGGCATTAACCACATATTTATCACTTTTTTCATTGTAGCTGCTTTTATTGCTATAAGAAATCATCTCTCCACAGATCTGACTTATAACTTGAGCAGTTGGCGTCACTTGTAATAACATCTCCATGGAGACAAGCAGATGGCATACCCCACACAAGAAAAAGTTACATACCTTTTAGTAAAAATAGTAGACAATAGTGTAAAATTTTAAGGACTGAGATGTAGGCTACTGTATCACCCATCACCTTAAACTTGAGTCCATGGGTGACACATTTAGAGTTTGCTTGTTTGATTGCAAAAAGTGGCAAAATTAAATTATTCTATCCAAGTATTTGTCATCTGGAGCATCTCTGTTTGCATGAGATTTGGCAATGAACAGTTGTCATGTATTGAGTCATGTCTGGACTTTTGCCTTTCTTGAAAAAAACAACACAAAAACAAAAAAAACAGTGCAGTTCTTTTTATGCCAAATGTGTTCAGCCAAATCCTGCTATTTTTTTCAAAATTTTCTGCCTGAATGACTTCCACGACCCACCGAAAAACATGAACCTTTAAGAAAGTTGAATTGCCTGTGGAATAGCTGCCTCCACTTTGCGTAAGTTTGCTAATGAGCACCCTCTTGCAGTAGCATTAGTCTATCAGTGCATGTGCATATGGGTCTTAGTAAAAAGCTACTTCACTGAGCCAAAAACCTTGTCTCCTGTATGAAACTACTGCTTGGCTGCCATCCAGAATAATGATAGCCTGCTTATTTCTATAGGATTACTCCCCTGCAGTCTCTTATTGCCACTTAAGGAGCAGGGAAAGGCGGTTAAGTGCTCGGGTTAATGTTTGTTTACACAGCTAATTGACTTCTAATTATCTTTTTGTTAAGGATGTGAGTCGTACCTTCAAGGATTTAAATGATTTTAGCTGCCGGCTGGTTTCCATAAACTTCATTTTCTCCCTCAGTAAATGTTTGTCTTTCTTGTGGATGCGCAGCCCTGGTGTATTGAAAAACAAATATGGTTAATGGTGAAATGTTGAACAAAAATACATAGACGTTTGGGATTGGTTGAAGGATATGAGAAGTTTAAGAAGTCTGCTGCTGCAATAATATATACTTCTGGTTTAACTCTTATATTGTTTTCATGTTTTTAGAGTTAAATCTTTTTTTTTTATTTAAAGGTGCACTATGTTTTCTGGTTGCTGGTTCATCACTTGCTTGTCTCATCAGAATGTTGCTGCTTTTACTGAATGTTCGACCAGATTTTCATTTACACTAGAGATTAGGGGTGTGCAAAGATATCGAAATATCAATATATCGTGTCATTTAATGTAATGATACAGTATTGATATCGTGGGCTTCTGTATCGATATATCGCGAAGAGTATTTTTTGGTATATTGTATTAAAATATTTTGTTACAGCGCTACAGTTTTGTTGCTTGTTCAGAGGAAAGAACAAGCACATTTGACATTTTCACTGTTTTGATGAGTAAAATGGGCATGTTTCATACTAACTTTGCACAAGAAGTGGTTTAACAAAGACTTTTAGTATCACAGCCCTAATTTAGACATAATTTTTAATTGAACTGTATTGAAACGGTTTGAAATATATCGTATCAAACCGTAAGCTTACTGTACGAGATGCATATTGTATCGTGGTCTATGTATTGCATAATGTATCGTATTGGCCGATATTTGAGCTTTTTATCGTACACGCTATTTGTTTTGGTCAATCTGCTGCCTAAAAATACAGAAAAAGCTTTATATTAATACTTTAAGACAAAGTGGATGCTGCACACAACTTGACTACAAAGTTCTCTTATAAATTTATGGTTAAAAAAAAAGGCTTGAGGGAGATTATAGTAAATTTCAATTACATAATTTAGGGAAAATAATTCAAATCTGCCCTACATATCAGTCCAAAAAATTCGCCTGAGCATATCGCAATTGGCTGCTCTGTTGGTATCGGCATTGTTCATGAAAAAACACATATCGGTCGATCTTTATGCTACACTCGTTCACTTAAAAACGAAATTTGCAAAAGTTGTGATCCATAGAAAAAGTTCAGGAACGATTCAGCTCAGAAAAGAATATCCAACCCTTTCCTTTAACTGTTTTCACACAATTTCAGCTCATTGAAAATACATATTACAGTTGTCCAGTGCTGTAATTGTATGTCTGTGGAATGGTATTGATTGCCTCAAACATAGACTATAGTTTATTGTACATTTTACATTCTGTAGGCAGTTACAGTGAAAAAATCAAATTATATTGTAAAGACTATTTGAATGATTTATACAACTTTTGACGTGCCGTACCCTTTAGCTTAGATCTATCATACATGGGCTATACCAGGGACCTAGTTCAGTCATGCTTAAAATATCCGGTCTATGATATAACCTTCATATATTACTCCGGTCTGTTTCACTTTTCTCTTGGTCTAAAGTTTTCACAGCCCTTCTCAACTGCGCACCTCCTCCTCAGAGATGTCCCATAATAAAGCCTAGAGCCACCCATCCATGAGCTGATGATCCTGGGACCGCTTCCTTCCCGGAGCCTTGAAGATGAGGGCTGCCTTCTGTGCCTCTTATAGTTGTGTATTCTGTCTGATGATGGTCTGTAATGTGCAAAGGAGCAGGGAGAAGAGGCAGAACTGGGCTTGTTGTTTAAGTTTCAGCACCACGGATAGCTCACACTCTTTCTGTGATGAATGGCCTCTTTTACATTGTGTCGGTGCAAATGACCATAACATATTACACTGCGTCTATGGGCACAGCCAAACTACATTAAGTAACAAATGACTTAACATTAATGCATCTGATTATTTTATGGTACCACAGTCGATGCCTCATTTAAGCCCATTTGCTTCTTATTACTATATGGATCAAATGTCAACATAGTTTTACCCGCAACTTTTGGTGTAGTGTTTTCAACTTTACCAACTAAAAATACTCCTGCAACAGAGAAGGCAACAGAGGGGGACATGTTGAGGTGACTCTAGATCTTTGTTCAAAGGTAAACACCACTGGATCAATATCTGAGTCAGGTCTTTCTATGCATAATTAAGACCAAACAGTTTTTTCTTTAGAGACCAAATATTTTCACAAAACGTCTCATTAGTCAACCAATTAGTGTGAAAAAATTCAAAAGCAGACAGAAGGTCAGGAGAAAATGTTACTTAGCATTAATGATTTGGTAAACATATAAGCTTCTTCAAGTGAAGTCTAAATATGCACATATCAGATCTGAGCTCTCTTATGTGTGAATGTAAGAATATTAGACTTATTATTGCTTTTTGATCTTTTGAGTTTTGGCTTCAGCCTTTGGAAAAAAGATCAAAGTTAAGCTGATATTTTCAAAACATGATTTTGTAGATTTTGGATATTTTTTCAGCTTTCTTCAGTAAAATAAACTGATTTGATTTCAATTTTGTAAATGTTTGTTTAGGGACAAAGAGTATTTTTGCTGATGTTGCTAAAGTTGAGATTTGAACATGAGGAGTAGAGTCCTGAGCGTATGTGATACGACCATGAGATGATCTATTGGTGAAGCAGAAGCAGATGACTTTAGTCATACTAACTGCCTGAACTGTGTGTGTCGAAATTGTGATCTAGGCTCAACTTTTTGTACAGTATTTTTGCGTATTGTCCAATTCCCAATGTCCAAAATAAACAGAAAGAGTCTCAAGCATTATTTTGTTTCTTGAAGAAACAATTGATTTTCCAGTTTATATTTCAGACTCCAAACTTTTTTTTTTTACACCACCGACCCTTGAAGCTGCTGTGGAGTCCAGATCGATCATGGCATTAGGAGCCAGTATGTTCCTCCTCTGACCTCGTCCGAGCTCCGAGCCTGTCAGAACACACCAGTCTCTGCTCCAAATCAGGATGGATTGCGTCGGGCGTGTCCTCCTTGTCCCCCGTGGAGTCTCTTTACTTTGGGTCTCTGTGTTTGTCCCTCCGAGACGCCGCGTGGGGACATCTGCTGTGGACCATCTGTCTCAGGATGGAGGCCAGAAGAACCAGCAGCAGTGAGAGAGGGAGGTAGAGAGAGGATGGAGCTGCTAAGGGTGCAGAGAAAGGACAAACCAAAAAAAGGAGATTTCCACAAGGTTTGTTTATAATGCTGACTCACTCCCAGCAATGGTTTTGGTGAGATTGCCAACTCAACAGTATTTTTGACATGACTCAGGCATGTTTTTTATTGAAAAGTCTCATTGGTACTGCCGTGCTATTGGCATAATTCTGTTGAATAAGGTATTTAATAGGGCTTCTAC